AACTAAAAAAAGACTAGAAAGAATTTATGAGTTCTCCTAAAAATGCCTTTGTAGCTGTTTGGTGTTTTTATTCAAGTCTTGCTTACTTGCTTATTACTCCATCCATTTCATAATACTGATCCCAAATTGAATTTCATGGTATCCGGTACAACAGTTTGAACATTATTATGTGTAACTATATGCAATAAATACACTAAATGCAGTATATTCTAAAACCCCAGACCCTACTGTAGTAGGATTCAACTGGGTTGTTGTTGTTGTTGCAGTATATTCTAAAATAGTACAATACTTCAAAATGAATATAATGATATTAGTTTCACAATTCACATTATAACATAATGTGTTTTTAACACAAATCATAGTCAAATTTTGCAATGTTCGACTACCGACTTCAATGTGGGATGAATATTATGAAATAAAGGGAATATTACTCAAGGGTTGCTTGTAATTAGTGTGGGTTAGTCTTAATGTTGGGTTGTTATCATCTCATGTTTTCAAAAGTAACCAATCTAACCATGCTTGTGTGTACAAACTTAGCAGATCAGGATTCACATTGTGTATCTATTTTTAAGGGTTTGTAAATTGTAAATGGTCTCTATTCAAGATTCACGGTCAAGTTCTGGGCTTTAGATGACTGTACCTCATGTCCTCATTCTTCAAACGTGTGAATACACCTACTCCCCCTCCCAGAAAAGGAAAAAGGAAAAGCTTGCCCTAAGGCTTGCAAAAAATTACTATAAGGAGGCAAAAGTTTTGTTGTGAAGACTTAAAGGTCCTCTTATTTTTCAAAAATACTCCAAAGCCATTGAATTTGATTGTAAAGATTTATAGGGGGTCTTCTGGGGCTAGCATCTCAATGATCGGAAAAAAATTGATCTGGTTTCCTTAAAATTAGTATATTTCCCATTATGCCCTTAGCAACAAAAATAGTGTATTTTTAATGCCTTCTAATTTCTTTCAGCTATTTCCATTTTTTCTAAAATCTCCCAATTTCTTCCAACAAAGACTTTAAAAAAATTATTTAGATGTATTTTCATATATTATATATTATTATTATTATTATTATTATTATTTCAATAAAATAAAAAATTAGTTTAATGTCACAATTCATAAAAAGTTATCCTCAAAAAATCATATGATTTTGAATGCAAGGGAGGAGCTCAAGAGTATTGATAAATCTTTATCAAAGGGCATTTTATTCTTATCAAAATGTTGGCACTGGACTGTCCGTTTTAAGCCTTTACAATTAAATTTAATGTATTTTGAATATTTTTGAAAAAATTGGAGGACCTTTGAGTCTTTACAACAAAACTTATGTCACCTCATAGGAATTTTTTGCTAAGGCTTGTGTGGATATACACAGTTCTTTTTTTCCAAGTTGGAAGAACATGGCTCAATGAGGTCACACATGGTTGGTCCAGTATATTTCAGTACAGGTTTTTGATGATAGATCAACACTGTTTAAAGCAACACAAATTAAAGATCAAAATTCCCCAAAATATATGCATCATTATGCATCTTGAAACAAAACTGACACATGTTTCCCAAAAAAAGATGAAACAAAACTGCCCTGGTGTGAGATTGTGCCATCATATTTTGTGCCACGGTGTTCTCGTGTTGCAAGCTAGGACTGCCCTGGCATCATATTAGGCTATCTCTATGAACTGTGATTTGAGAGTCCAATTTATTGCAAATATTACTGTATCTCTTAGAGAAATGATTGCATCTTATTAAGGTGATTGTATAAATAGTCAAATGCGGATCGATAGGGGTCACCCATTACGATGGGCTCTAAGTCTCTAACACCAGATCTTTATGAGCCTGGGGATTGAGATTGTGTCCGTGGTCATTAGGTTAAAGGGTGAAGTTGTTTGGAGCTTTCTATGGTGGAAGTGCAGGTTATGAGCTATGGCATGCAAATAATATGAGTGATGAATGAGTTATACGAAAATTTGATAAAAGACTAAAGAATAAATAGATGTAGTTGAGTTCTCCTCAAACTCCTTTTGCTAATTATTTGAAGGAAAAAGCAATACTCCAAAAAAATTCCGATTTTACAAGAATACTCCGAAAATCAATTAATTATACCATTACTCCCACAATTGCTCTATTTTTACAATAATATCTACATTAATTTTAAAACTGATGACTTGGAAAATAAATCACTTTTTCAGTTTTCATATAAAAAAATTACTTATTCTTCCTCCAACTCAAATATCAATCTCTTATTTTAAGAGTTTGTTCTTTTGGGTTGGAAAATTTAACTTCCAACTTGTTCTAACTATAATTTTTTCCAAGTCTTTACAGTTTTTTTCCAACATTCAACTTTAGAATTCTAACCGAAAATGGCATGACCTAATTGTGAGGGGCGTGATTGATATTTGAGTTGGAGGAAGAATCTGTAATTTATTTTTTTATGAAAACCAAAAAAAGTAAATTTTTTCTTCAAATCATCACTTTAAAAATCCATTTAGATATTACACAATTTTATTGTGCGAGTAAGGTGGTGGGTGGAGTATTTTTGTAAAAAGAGAAATTTTGGAAGTAATGGTGTAATACTGTAATAAATTTATTTTTAGAGTATTCTTGTAAAATCAGAAATTTGTCAGAGTATTTGGTGAATATTTTCTTATTTGGAACATTGCTTGATTTTTATTCAATGCTATCCTCCTATTAAATTGAGAGACACGATTAACCCCCCCCCCCCCAAACCCCCAAAAATAATAGGAACATACACTACATGCAGAGTCACTCCACAAAACATAATAGGAACACACACTTAGTAAAAAAGCAATATTCATTGGTAATTTTTTTTCTTTTTCCTAGGATTTACGGGATTCAAATACAGCCTAAGTGTATCAGCAAAACTCAATGAGTATAAATAATTGGACCTTCAGAAAGATTAGGGTTTATCAATCCGCATCTGCTAAGATTTATGAGAGAGCTATGACACTGCATGTGCCACGAACTATTCTAAAGATGAATAATTACCTAACGCAGA